TTTGCATGGGCCTCTGCTGCTTGCTGCAAGGAGGTAAATTGCTGGGAGCAGATTTTTTTTTTGTGCTAATCAAGCTATGCTGAAAATGAAAACGAAAGTAAAGCAAGCTATTTGCTGTAACGAGGCAAAGGCAGATTTATTTTTCTTGTTTTCCTCACCAAAAAAGGTAGGTGTGTCTTATACTCTGAAAAATACGGTAATTGCTTCCTGCAAAAGCTCATGTCCCATTCGCTTCTCTTTTATGTCTTATGGGAGGGGACAATCATCTCCAAGCCTTACTCCCAAGTCGATCCTATTTCGTTAATTTGTTCCTAACTCCTGGCAGCTCTGTGCATGCGCACACTGGGAACAGGCACATACTGTTCTTCTGCCTCGCTGATGTCAGACTCCAGAGACTCCGGAGGCAGCAAAGAACTACCAGATGGCCTTGGCCCCCTCTCTGCCTCCGACTCAGAGCCATCGTCTGAGCCTTCCCCAGACTCCAGGACTGGCCCATGTTCCTCCCCAACCTCCTCACTGTCCGAATCTGCTGCCAGCTCTGCTGGCTGGCCACAACAGGTTGCCCCAACAAAGGGGTTGGGGGAACTTGCTATGATTCTGAGATTCTTTCCTTGATTAAATGCTGTCAGTTAAAATCCACCGATAATATATGTGAATCTTCAATTATTTTTTTTATGCCAGTGTGCATCTCTTTGCATTTAACCTAGGTCCTCCAGATGCCTCCTCAGCCAACTGGGGAGCCCCTCAAGGAGCTCTTGCAAGCCGGCCAAGCTCTGCAGAAGGACGCCTGGCCCCTCGATCCCTTCAGGGCTCCCCTCTGCAGGTGACATGCTAAGCGTCTCTCCAGCTGAAGAACGACCTTTGCTCCCCTCTGTGTCATGGCCCCAGGACCACCAGCCTCCTCTTTATCCTCTGGGGGCTGAGTTGGCTCATGTGCCTTTGTGGAGGGAATTGACGGTGCACCCCGGCCTGCTCCAGCGGGTCCCACCTCCGTCCTACCCACTAGGCTGCCATAACCAGTGCAGGAAAGGCTCCCTGATGGGCTAGGATGCATTGTGGTTGAAGGGATGAAAGCCCCGGGGTTCTTAGAAGGCTCTCCTGGATCTGGAAAGATGGCAGAGAGATCAGATGGGGTCACCCCAACAACAGCCTGGGTCCAGTGATCTGAGCCTGCCAGCCACGTCCTCCCTTCTCCGCCTTCTCCTTCGAGAGGAGAGAGATCCTTCTGGGCTGGCCATGCTGAGCCAGCCACCTCCTGTGGGAGGCATTACCCTCATCCCCAGTCCTGCTCCGTGAAGCTGCACAGGCCAAGCAGGCTCAGGCAGCAGATGGAGAGGGGTGGGGTGTGTGTGCCAGGTGATGCTTCAGCCAAGCTGACTCTGAGTAGGGCTGCGTTGCAGTGGGGGAGGCAAAGGCATCCAGAGCCCTCTGGGGCTGCTGCTGGCTGGAATGCTGCCCAGCGATTGGGGCCGGCGGCCTCAGGCAGCTCACCTGGCTTCTCTCCTGGCAGGCACGTCACACTCCTGCAGCTTGTCCAGGACTGGCACCTGGGGGCCATGGGCCTCAGGCAGACTGTCTCCCCAGATCTTTGCAGAGCCGACGTCCCACTGCCTGAGCTGGCAAAATTACCTGTAGGTCTTGGGTCAAGACAACCGGAGCCCAAATGAATACACGCCTTGCAAGAGGGAGGGGGGCTCTCTTCCAGCTAGTGGCAATCATGTCAAAAACACCCCAAGCAAGACGTTTGCAGGGAGGCTGACTGTCCCATGCCTCAGAGCCACACAAATCATCATTAAGGAGAAGAACACGAAGGAAATGCTGTTTCACCTGAATTTCTTGAAGGCAAAGTCTTGTGTTACAGCAACCAAAAGGTTTTGCCAGCACCAGGGATCTCCTATCTTTCCCAAGGACATCTCAAAAGTGACCGGACCGGTGTGGTTACAGCTCTGCTCTGCCTGGCTCAACACAGCCGCTTAACGTTGGGGGAGGGGGGGTGCCTCCGCCTGGCGCTCCCCTGCAGCAAGATCCCCTCCTTCCAGAGCTCTCTGATGCCCAAGACTGAGGATGTCGTTTAGTCAAATCCCTCCTTGGGTTTGTTCAAATCCTCCTGCTTTGCTCACAGGGACCGTGTGCCCACTGGCATTTTGGCAGCCTTCCCTGAAGTGCCAACTCTGCCGAACATTTAGCTGCTTATAAACTAGTCCTGGCTGTGCCAGGGAAAGAGCCAGCAAGGCATTGTGAAGAGAAGGGATGGCGGTTCGGGAGAGGTCCCAGGTCCTCCTCTCACGAAAGGCTCCCTGATGGGTTAGGATGCGTTGTGGTTGAAGGGATGAAAGCCCCGGGGTTCTTAGAAGGCTCTCCTGGATCTTTGAAAGATGGCAGAGAGATGCACCCTGGAGACTCACCCTTCTACCCATCCAACAAGACCGGGCATGGACAGAACGCTAATTAGACTAAAATGGGTTAGGCACCTCACTTTATGTTATGGATTTCTGAAAGATGGGCATGCTGCCACAATAGAAAGCAATTCTTGGTGGCTGCGGCGGAGACCTTGTGGACAGAGAGGTGGGGAGCTGTCTTGTGAGTAACTGACAGCAAACCCCCGACTCTCCAAAGATGTAGAAAATCTTCTTTCCCTGTCCGTTGAGCATCCAGGGCAGAGAGTGTTCATGAGCAAAAGGGACTTCTTGGTGCTTCAGCAGTCCAAACCAAGAACTCAGCCTAGAGATAGCTGGACCTGGGGGCGGCAGTGGGAGGCTCGTCCTCCTGCCCGCCCACAAAGCCTCCTTAAAGCCTCAGCTTTGGGCATGTGCCCTGCCTCTGCCCTCCTCCTTGGCTCTACATAAGGCTTCCCAGGATGAGAAACCACCCCTCTTCTCTGCCAGAGCAGTGATCTTACTCCTGCAGGAGGGGGAGGGGAGTTTAGACATCAGTTAATCCAGGGTAATCCAGCTGGGGGGTTTCTTGGCAAAGCTCTCCTCCCTCAACCCTCTTCTCCAGCCCCCACCCCTGCCCATCTTCAGAGCAGCCCTTATGCTTAGTAAGCGCTGAGTCTGCAGGCACTAATCCTCCAGCTCTTACTCACAAGAACTGCTGGTCTTTCCCCTTCAAACCAGTGGCTCATACAGAACAATAAAACCTCACCCGTCAATCAAAACACATCATTCCCAGGAGAGAAAGAGTAAAAGATGACCACAACCGGTGTGGTCCAGTGTGTTATTCAAACCCAGCCCTCAGCCTGGAACCTTGAGTTTCGACAACCCAAGCTGAGGACTAAAGATTTTTTGTATATATATATATATACTCGATTCTAACAATGATTATATAGAATCGAGTATTCCTACTTGTAGGACCCACTGCAATTGACTAAGAATGTAAGAATATGTAAACAATAAGTAAATAACATGTATATGTGATCATAAAGAATTCTGTATGATTATATGTAATATCTTTCAAATCAAATATAATGCAAGGAAGCAATACCATAGCAGTAAATAATATATAAGTAAATAATATGTATATATGTATTAACACCACGGAACCGGAAATGTTTGAATTGTATTATCATATTTCACAATAAAAAACTTAAAAAAAAATAAAGATTTTTTGTATTTGCAACTCACAGAGAGATTTAAAGCCGATAAGAAAAGCTGATAAGAATGGGCACAAAATTTTGAGGAACCAATAATGATGGAAACATGGGAAAGGATCTGGGTAAGAAATGTAAAATTTACGCAAGCTCAAAATTTGAGAGAAAATTTTTATAAATTGTTTTATAGATGGCATTTGGATCCCAAAAAGTTAGCTTGTATGTACTCAAAACTTACAACCCAAATGTTGGAGATGTGATTATGTTGATGCTACCTATTTTCATGCTTGGTGGATTTGTAAAAAAGTTAAAGCATTTTGGATAAAAATATGGTGGATTATTCAAAATACTTTAAAAAAAAGGATAAAGTTTACTCCACAGTTGTTTTTGTTAGGTATAATTACAGATTGTACGGCTATAGAGACTAATTTGATTTTGAACTTAATAACTGCAGCAAGACTCTTGGTGGTGCAGTACTGGAAGAAGGCAGATTTACCTACTATTCAAGAATGGACATTAAAAGTAGTAAATTTAGCAGAAATGGCGAAAATTTCAGCATATCTAAAGGACCATTCAAATGAGAAATATATGTTAGAATGGAGAAGATGGATTGATTATATTAAAGGCAAATATCGGACTAAAAAATTTCAAATAGCTTACGAATGATCAAAGAGATTTTATAAAGTACTTAAATTTAGTTTAGTAAAAGAGGAGTTAAAAATTGAAGAGGGGGATAGGAGGCTATAGATAATTAGCTTATGTTAGCTTATGATTGTCAAATGTTATACCCTGTATTTTGCTCTGGGAAGGGGGGGAGGGAGGGGAAGGGGAGGGTTGGAATGAGAGGAGGGAGGGGGAAGGGGAAATGTTTGTAAAACTTTTTTAAACTTTTCAATAAAAAAAAAGAAATGCTGATAAGTACGACTTCAATCATGATAAAACCTTTGGTTGCCACATTATTAAAAAGATGTTGAGAGTCTCTGGAAAAAGCGCAGAGAAGAGCAACAAAGATGATGAGGGGACTGGAGGCTAAAACATACAATGAACGGCTGCAGGAACTGGGCATGGCTAGTCTAGTGAAGAGAAGGACCCAGGGGAGACAGGAGAGCAGCCTTCCAATATTTGAGGGGCTGCCACAAAAAAGGCAAGGGTCAAAGGCAGGTCAGGAAGTAATGGATGAAAACTAGTCAGGAGAAAAGCAACCTAGAGATAAGATGAACTTTCCTTACAGTTAGAACCATTTATCAGTGGAACGACTTGCCTCCAGAAATTGTGGTTGCTCCATCACTGGAGGCTTTTAAGACGAGGCTGGACAGCCACTTGTTGAGAGTCTCTTGCTGGAGCAGGGGGGTTGGATTACTAGAAGAATAAAAAGAATTAAAAGGCAGGGGGGAAATAAAATGGCAATTACCTGGTGGAAAGAAGAGTTTCCTTTCTTTTTCCCCACTTCTTTTCGGTCTCCCTGCCCCTGCCCCCCCCCCCCCCCCGCTCCTTCCCCTTGCGCCCCTCCTCCGCCCCCAGGGTTCCTTCGCCAGAGCTTTGCAGAAGGGAAGCGCCGCTGGAGGAGAGCCCCGCCACGCCCACAACTCCAGGCGGCGCGTGCGCAGGTCGGGAGAGCCCGCGTGCCGGGCAGGTGCGGCCACGGTCTCCCGCGTCGGAGTCACGTGACGCAGCTGTCGGGTTGGCGCTCGCCTCAGGCCGTTTCCCGCCATGTCCCCGCCGTCGATGCCGCTGAGGCGCCGGCCTGCCCGGCCTCGCTCCCCAGCCGCCGCCTCCTCGTCCTCCTCTGCTGGGAGCGCGACTCCGCCGGGGCGGGGCGCGGGATGGATCTCGGACAGCGAGGTCGAGGCGGAGGCGGCGGTCGGACGGCGCGCCAAGCGGCCGACCCGGCGCCGCGGCTCCCCGGTAGGTAGGCGGGTGGCAGGGCGAGGGCGGCGGTGACGACCCGGGGCAACTGACGGCGGCTCTGCCTCTTCCCGCCCGGCGCAGGTGCCGAAGCGGGCGAGGCCGCGAGCGTCGGGCGAGGCCGGATCCGCCGGCGGCCTGGGCCTCTTCGAGGCGCTGAAGGCGGGCAGGAGCGCCCTGGAGGTGAGACGAGGCCGCCCCCGCCCCTCCTCTTTCTCCTCCTCCCCCCTCGACGGGGGCTGCTGCGGCGGTGGTCCCAGCCGCCTTTCTGCCTCCCCCCGCCTCGAGCCTTGGCCTCCCGTCGCCCCTTCCCCCCGCAGCCCGTGGTGGACGAGTGGCTGGAGGGCTACCAGGAGGACCGGGCCGGGGGCTTCGTGGAGCTGCTGAACTTCGTGGTGCGCGCCTGCGGCTGCAGAGGTGAGGAGAACCCGGGGCTGCGGGGTGGGGCTGAGGGGGCTGCCTGGGGAGTAGAGGATGGATCGCCCTCCTCCTCCCCCCTCCCCCCCTCCCTCCCTCCCCGCCTTTGTCTGGGCAGGCGCCGTGACTCTGGAGATGCTCGGCCGCCTGCAGAACTCGGAGATCATCAAAGGCCTGACCGAAGCCTTTGAGGAGGTGAGAGAGAGAGAGAGCCCCGGACGTGGGGGTGGCTGAGAGGCTCCTGGTGCGGGGGAATGGGTGGCAAGACACCCCCATCCCCTTGACTCTGATCCTCCCCTCCTCTTCCCTCCCACCAAATGCCAGGATTCAGCCGAATACCCGTTGTTGCTGAACACTCCCACGTGGCGACGTTTCCGTGCAGGATTCTGTGAGTTCATAACTGTGCTTGTGTGCCGTACGCAGCATAATGTTGTTTATGATGAATACTTGATGGACGGTCTCATTGCCTTCCTGACTGGCCTGTCTGATTCTCAAGTGCGTGCCTTCCGTCATACCAGCACCCTGGCAGGTAGGACAGTAATTGGGGCAAAAGAGAGGCCACTGTGGCTTTCCTGGTGCTTGGAAGTGCTTGTGCTGTGTGGTCCTTTCTTCCATTCCAGCTATGAAGCTGATGACGGCCTTGGTGCATGTGGCATTGAGTGTAAGCTTGCAGAAAGACAATGCTCAGCGACAATATGAGACGGAGCGGGCCAAGGGATTGGGCTGCTGGGCCCCAGGGAAGTTGGAAGGGCTGTTGGAGAAACATAAGGAGGTGCGTATCTGACAGGGAGCCTGATAAAAGGGCAACTTCTTAGCTGTATCTTGTTTGGTCACAGAATCATAAAGTTAAGGGATGCCTCAAAAACCATCCAACCCCTTTTTCAGTACAGCATCCACTATAGCATTTCTGATAGATAAATATATAAAAATGCCTATGTTTGATGATTTTTGGCAAAGGAAGAATGCTGTCATGGTGCAGTCTGCTCAACGTTTTTACATTTTGTATAGTCAAATAGTTGTACCTAATATTTAATTTGGAATTTTCAATTTATAATTCACTGGTTTTAGTCCACCCTCTCAGGAAAAAGTGTATGCACTTCTTCTTTTTTTAAAATTTTTATTATAAACTAAAAACAAAAGACAGAAAGAAGACAATAACAAAACAAAATCACATACATACGTTTGAGGTTGATTCAACCCCCATATACATACCGTTCCTAAGTAATGTTACATATCATCATACTATACCTTCAATTTATCATATTTCATCTTGCACTTATTAGTCTTGTATCTAATATTACCTTATATATATTTAGCTTACTATTTTCAAATGTGTGCTATATGCTTTCCTAACATCTACCTCATATCATTTTTACTTCTATCCATTTATGCCATTTATCCCAGCTTTGATTAAATATTGATTCATGTCTATCTTTAAGAATATATTAGTCTATCACATTCTTATGTGCACTTCTTTTGAATGTCAACTTTTCAGGTATTTGAAGACTGCTCTTATATTTTTTTCTATGCGAGGTAAAATGCCGAGTTCTTTTAAAATTTATTAAAGAACTTCTTTGGTTGCATCTTGTTGCTTAGCCTCAAAAGACCTCTGGGGTCATTGATCCCTAATTTTTTGTGCAGGATCCACTAAATCATCTCAGATAGACGACCATCCAACCTCTCATTGCTTCATGGGGTAGCCTGTTCTATTGATTTGACGGTTCTTATCCTGAGGAACTACCTTCTGATATCTAACTTAAACTTTTTCATCATAGTGTTAACTCATTGGTCCTGGTCCTGCCTTCCAGGGCAATAAAGAACGTGTCAGTTCTGTCATCTCTCTGAAACTTTTCAGGTGTTTGAAGACTGCTATCAGATCGCTCTCTTCAATAGGCTATGCATATCCTCATAGGCTCCTGGTTCATTCACAATCTTGGTAACTATACTTATTTAAACATTGGTGCCCAGAACTGGACACAGGCTTGCAAACAGGGTGTGACCATTTGGGGCAAGATAGAGTAGAACAGTTCTTCCCATTGTCTTGGCTTTGTGTATTTATTAATGTGTCCCAAGGTAGATTTACCTGTTTAGACGTTACGCTGCCATCTCACGTTTCATATGCAGTAGACAAAGACACTAAATCCCTTTCCCTTGTCCTACTGCCAAGCCAGGTTTTTTTCCCCCCATTATATAACTACACCTCCATGTTTCCTACTTAGATATAGAATATTTCTCCATGTTCAGTGCTGTCTCTCAAGTCTGTGGAGCTTTTTTTCAATCTTCCATCTAAATTATTAGCAATATTTCCCAGCTTTGTGTTGGCTACAGACTCCATAAATCTGGTTTCCACCAAGTTACTAATAATTAGTATTTGATACCACAGAGCCAAGAATAGAGGTTCTCCAAAGGTGATCTCCTTCATTCATCAAGGGGACATTAAGAAGATAAGAGTTCATCTTATCAACACCATCACAAAAAGACCAAAATGCCTCACCAGCGATCAACACCCAGATGAGCAGAGATTAATACCAAGGTTAACATTAGAAATCAATGTTTGATTTGATTTGCTGTTTGATCAAAATCAAAAAGCAAACAATACTCCAAACAAGGGAACAATAAACCTTTCAACCCAGGAACCACCAAGGCCACTCCCACCCACACTGACAGAGCAAGCCACCGGGATATAAACTGAGAGTAACTAGGACTGATGATGTTATGTAGTTTGGTAATGTAACATCTGCAAGGAAACCACCAAGCTTGGAGAGCACCAAGGACCTCTCTTTTCAACCCTGAGTTACAAGTATTCTCCATCAGTACCACATATCGAAGTCAGATGCTTCAGAATGCACGCAGATGAGAGAAATGTGCATGTAGGCACTCTTTCACGAAGGAGCTTCGTGATTCTTCCTGCATGAATGCCTACAGCAGCATGCTCTACCTACCAGTGTCAAACACAAACCTCCAATAAACTGTACAGCTGGATGGAAAATAGCCCAAGAAAGAGGGTGAAAAATGATGTGACTTATCGCAAATGCAAACCTTAGACTAAACAAATATCAGTATACCATGGCAAACCTCAAGGAACAGCTGGAACAGACCGTCATACCAGGGCACATAGAAAGGCTGGCCACCACCACCACCAAGACTATTTCTCAGAGGCATGCCAGAAAAAGGAAAATCAAACTACAAACTACTCAAACCTCAGAATCAAAGAGGCAGCAGAGCCCGAGTGGGTGGTCAAAATGTCCAGATGTCCATTATCCACTGCAGTACACAATATCCCACAGAAAGCCTCAACTATAACACAGATGACGCTATTCAGCTAGAATTCTTTGCATTCTTAGAAAGAGCATTTAGAACCACAGGACTTCCCACAGAGACCCAAGAAAGCATCTGACAAACTATTATACCACAGGCCAGAAGAAGATGAGAACAAAAGCAGCAGAGGCAGAGCAGCCCTCAAAAACCTAAAAAAGGACCAGAGTATCATCCTACCAGCAGACAAAACTCAAATTACGGTTATCGTAGATAGATCACAATATATAAAAAAATGGAAGAATTATCAGAAGACAAACTTATATCCCAGTGAAAACCAATCCAATACAGAAACAGGACAACCGAATCGAGAACTCTCAGTGACCTCAAAGGTCACATTATCAAAGAGGAGCAGAGGCAGATGAAAAGCTGTGGACCCATGCTTCCACCTTTTTGTGGATGCCCCAAAACACACAAACTGGGCAAAGCTCTCTTTTCAACTGTATCATTAATGGGTATCCCGACAATATTACAAAAGAATTAACAAAAAATGGGGGGCGCTTCACAGGGGGAATCAAATACTCCATCAGCTTCCCACTCAATGTCTCCAAAGAATCAAAGATGAGATAGTAGATGAGGATGAACTCATCTCATTTGATGTCACAGCCCTTTTCACATCCATCGACCCACAATTAGCCACAGAATTCATGGAAGGTCTGCTCCACAGCAACCCCAGCCCAACCAAATGCTCCAAGATTGAAACACCCAAAATCATGACTTACCAACCTCTGCTCAACTACTCATACTTTCGATGGGTAAATATATTATCAAGTAAAGGAATTCCTGTGGGATCTCCACTTTCAGGACTCGTGGAGACTGTAATGCAACATCTGAAATCGATAGCACTCTTGCATGTACAACCCAAACTATGGATCTGGTATGTGGATTTATTTATTTATTTAGAAATTCATATTGCCGCCTATTCACACATGACGACTCAAGGCGGCTTACAGAATATAAAACCCCATATAAAAACAATATAACTAATAAAAGAAGTTGTATAATAAATTAATATACTGAAATCACTCCCCGCCCCGGTGACAGTATCTCACACAAGCCATTTAATGGACTCCATCCCACTCTGGGTTCCCCTAGAGTGGGGGCAATTCTAATCTCTGTTGGGATGATGTTCCAGAGAGAGAGGGTCACCACGGAGAAGGCCCTTCTGGGTCCCACCAGGTGTATCTCCCTAGGGGATGGGATCTGCAGCATTCCCTGCCTCCCTGCTCTGATGGGTCGGGTAGATGTAACCAGCAAGAGACGGTCCCTCAGATAACTTGGTCCAAGCCATGAAGGACTTAAAGGTGACAACCAGAACCGTTTTTTTTTTGAGAATTTTTTTTTATTTTTAAACAAAACTTAAAACATAAAACAATTATCATCCATTACAATTACAGAAAGTGTATTGATTGGTTACAAATCTTTTGTGCTTACTCCTCTATCCAACATTTTGTTATTTAACAGTTTATTACATTATTCTCATTTACCAATTATTTAACAGTAGTTTATCCTCCATAAGGGAAAAAATCCCCTCTTTATATGTTTTATTATCTTATCCATTTCATATTTCATTTCCATTCTTTCTTGTCCATTCTTCTTTTAGCTTCTGCGCATGTCTACCACATATGGTAATATGAACCCGGAATCTGATGACACTTCCAACATTTCTCCGATTTATTCTTGTACATTCTGGCTATTCTCGCTGGGGGCAGATGCCACCTGTAAAATATACAAATTCTCCTTATATGCTGTTGACATTGTCTTTTTATAATTCTGCAACCATAGTTTTTCCCATTTCTCTAAATCAATCCCATGACCAACCTTGAATTGCACCCAGAAGTAAATTGGCCGCCAATGCAGCTCCCGCAGGAGAGGTGATACATGTGCACACCAGGGTCTGCACAAAACCATGATGACTCCTTTGTCATAATAAAAAGAGACACTAGAGAACATACATAAAACCATCAACAACATCTTCAAAAGAATAAAATTCACAAGAGAAGAAAACAACATGTTCCTGGATATCCTCATCAGCAGAGACAGCAATGCCAAACAAGGAACACAAGTCTATGCAAAACCACCCACATCAACCAAGTGTTCCATTACCAGAGGAATAACCCAACCCCCCACAAGAGAAGCTGTGTCAGAACGCTACAGATAATCCTTGAATTATGACTGCAATTGAGCCTAAAATTTCCATTGCTAAACAACACAGTTGTTAAGTGAATCACTGTAGTGATTAAGTTAGCAACATGGTTGTTAAGTGAATCTGGCTTCCCCATTGACTTCACTTATTAGAAGGCTGCAAAAGATTCACATGATCCCAGGGCACTGCAATTGTCAGAAATACATGCCAGTTGCAAAGCGTCCAAATTTTGATCATGTGACCATGGGGATGCTGCAATAATCGTAAGTGTGGAAAAAATGGTCATAAGTCATTTTCTTCAATGCTGTTGT